TTTCATTTCTGTTGTGGAACTTCTCACAAATTACCTAACCCACTTCTCCTAAGCTTCTCAAGGACTAAAAGGGACTTAATCCTTAAATTGTTTCATGCAAGTATTAGGTTCCAGTTTGGGAGCTTGTTTTGATGTTTAAAAAAATAGGTGATTTTGGGCTGGCCGAGTGGCTCAGTTGGTTAAGAGCTCACTCAAGAGTTTGAGCTCTGAGCAACAGCAGTTCAATTCCCAGTCTGAGCTGAGCAGCCGCTGAGCTGCCAACAGGTGGCAGAATGACTCAGCTTAAAAAAAAAAAAATAGGTGATTTTTTTTTTAATTACACGCTTTATTATTTGTCAGGCCGGATCTATATTCCTAGTTGTCCAAATACACAAACCCTGATACCTGCCTTCAAGGAACTCATGTTCGAGCAGAGGAGATAGACATGTAACTTGAACACCTATAATGGAATCTAATAATGATTTTCCCCATTTACTCAATTCACTAAATTGTGGCCAAAAAAGAAAAAAACAAAAAACCACCTTTTATTTCGGGTTTTGTCTTTATCTGGAACCAGCACGATTTATTCAAGCATAGTGCTTATTAATACGCTGCTGTAGAGAATTTCCAGCTTCCTATGCCCTGCATGTTCGTAAGGGGCTGCATGCCTGACCACAGCACATCTGTGGGGAGTTTAAACTAGCAAATCAGGACCGCAGAAGCTTTTACCTTTATTTCATTCAGGTGGTGGCCCCTGGGTTTCTGTCACCTTATGCATTTATGCTTTTGTGCCCACTGAGGGTCGGAGGGAGAGCCAGTGCTTGGGGAACATAAGAAAGACCCGAGTGCAAAGCCTGAGAGAGGCCTTGATGAGAAGAAGTGCAGCACCAAGGTCTGCTCACTATTTACAACAGAGCACGTTCCAAGGCAGCATGGAGTCCAGCTCTGTGTGAGCACCCTGACTGCTAACCTGAGAGTTTTTCCTGTAGAATATTGAGACCAAACCCTTCATCAGCTTCTAGAGAGGTTTCTAGATTTAATTTTAGAAAGTAAAAAGAAAGAATGCTGCCAAAATTCCCCAAAGTGAGAATAATGCTTAGAAACCTAAATGCCATAAGCAGATACTATGATCATTCTGTTTCATACAACTTGGCTTTTTCAAGAAGCTATATTTTGGTATAAACATAATGCATTTTTAATTTTTTTTTCTTAAAAATGACCCTCTAAGATTTTTATGTCAGCTACTTCTTTGATCCTTAAAGTAAGATGTCTTGGCTGCGAAGTTGAACTTAGGAATCACAGCCATGCCCCTTTACCTGGGCGTGACTTGTAGAACTGGGTCACTAAGTAGGAAGAAGACATACATACAAAAACAAGAGCTGAATTGAGAGGAAAATTGAACCTGAGAGTAGAAGTTACGCCATCAGCCTCTCACATAGCATTGAAGCTTTGGGCTGTGAGCAACGGGGCTGTCAGTGATGGTTTCACATTTTTAATTAAGAGAAACACATGCTCACTAGGAAAAAAGAAATAGAAAATTCAGCAAAATAAAAGGAAAAGTAATCATCCATAATCCCACCACCCTAAGACAATCACTGTTTATTAATATTTTAGTGCCTCTTTTTCCAGTTTCTTTACATAGTTGAAGTCATAGTATATGTAAAATTTTGTGGTTTGCTTTTACCCTAAACATTTAACAGGCAATAAATAAGGCTTTAAAGGTTATTTGCTTAACAAAACAGAAAATGGGATATTCTTAGTATTTCTTCGAAGAAACCTTTACCCCAGTGACTCAATCTATGTGACTATCATTTATATAGCTTTCATTCTCTAAGAGTTCACCGAGCAGGCCCTTGTCCTCAGACTGTGCAGTGTGATGACTACTTTCCCCCCAGAGTGAGCAGCCGTCTAGCAGTGACAAGGCTGCATCAAAGGGGGCCACACAATAGGGCCCAAGGGTGGCAGGTTGCTGGCGGAGAGCCACTGACCCTTCCGATGGCTGTCCCCATGAGCCCTCCTGATGGCCATCTCCTCCTAATCATTTCAAACCTGTATTTTCTAAAAGTCCTACTTTTACCTGAATCGTATTTCCTGTTAAAGAAATGACCCCAGATAAGTAAGTAACTCTTGGACTTGAACTTGTAGGCCACATGCAAACAAGAAGTGGAAGGTAAATACTCTGATAAGTTCCTGATGGAGGAAGTTCAGATGGAGGAAGCTTAAAAAAAAGAAATCTCTTTTTCACTAAAAATATGACACCACACTCTGAAGATCAGGGGTTGCATCCTTTTTGGCCTGGAATTACAGCCACCACATTTTAAAATGAAGCATTCAGTTCAACCAATATTATTGTAAAAGACATCAACTAGATCTTATAAGAAAACAAAAATGAATAATAAATTATCTTTGCCCTCCTAGGTGCTTTTACTCTAGTAGAGGAAATAAGATGTGTACATAAGCTGTGATAGTACAGGAAGATGTAATAGATATAAATACCATATAAAAGCAGGGAGGAAAAAAGGAGGGAGAAAGTAGTTCTGGCAGGAGACAAAAGAATGCACCATGAAGGAAACAGACATGAGAAACATGGGTTGAATTGTATCTTGTGGAAATAGGCAAGGCAGTTAAAAGAGCCTGCACAAACAAGTTCAAGGCACATTCAAGAGATGAGGAGCAGCCTTCTTTCAATTTTGTTATTTCTTTTTTAAACAGCTCTGGAGAAGATGCAAAGAAATAGGCAGGAAAGAATAGAAATCATCCAGAACTCTGTTACCCAGAAAAAAGTTCTATGAACAGTGTAATGCATTTCCTTCATTCATCTTTTTACGCATGTGGCTAGAATAGAATAGAACAGATTGGAGATGCTGGTTTACCATGCTTGGCTTAGGTGTTGCTGACATTTGTAACTGCATTTACACTGCTAGCCCAGTGTACTTTTTCATGAACAAACACTGACAAATGTCCGTGTTCCTCTGGTAAATCCAAGCAGCAAACCTCTACTGAGCCTGTGTAAATCAGGCCGTGTGCCCGTAGATGCCTTATGCTCAGAATTGAATTCAAGGCTGAATCCAGATAAAGGCTGTGTGGCTCCTAGAAGGAGGCAGTCATCCATCACCTGTCGTTTCCTGTTTGTGAACCAGCAAATAGAGGGGTGTGTCTATGTACATTTTCTAGAACATAAATAGTTTTTTACTTGGAATGCTACTTTTTGTCCAAAAATGGAAATGTTTCCATTCTCAAATTTAATGTTTATTTTAAAATTCAAATGGTACAGATAAAAATAAAGTCAAAATTACCTGAAATAACGCCATCCAGAGATAACATATTTTGGCAAATGTTTTCCCAGCGTTTTTTCCCCCTACCCCTAAATTATGGTCATCTTTCTGTATCAGTAAATATCAGTCAGTACTTTACATTTTGATACAAATTGCTAAAATGCTCTCCAGCTGTTTGTTTGCTGTCCCACCAGTAGGTATGCTAAAGGTGGGTATAATCAGTCTTATTATTTTGGTAAATTTTATGGAGGTGTACCAGAAAAGTACACAGATCATAGGTTTACAACCTAATGAACTTTTAAGAAGTAAACACACTTAAAAATCCAGATCAAGAAACAGGACATTACCAGCCACCCAAGAAGCCACCCACGTGTCCCCTTTCAGTCACCACTTCCCCAGGGGTAACCACTATTCTGTTACCTAATTTGTAATCTTGACTAATCTGAGGGGTAAGCAATATCTTGTTTTTACTTCTGGTTACTGTTATGAAGTCACTACTTAAGTTATTTGTCAAGTTCATTGTAAGGCCCAGTTTTTGGAGCTTCCGTCTCTATGAGAGGAGTAAATCGCATCTGGCGAAGGTGCAGAACATGAAATGACTGGCTGGGGTTGTGAAAGTCAAAGCAAAGATTCTATAGTCTGACCTTTGTGATACATTATTTTCTCAGTAAACATCTGCGTTCTTTTGGGACAGGCACTATGATTTAAAACATAAAAAAGCATCTGCCTTTCTTTGAAATGATGCGTTTCAGTGCCTTCTGCAACTGGAGAGTATATATAGCCTGTGTCTAAACCAGTAGGGATACGTGGCTAGAAGCTGACCTCTGCTGGAAGCTTCTGGTATGATTTGGAGGAAGGAATGTTTGTCTTCCCTGGTGTCTGCTAGCCTTTCGTTCAGCTCAAGCCTGCCTGCCTCTGGCTTTTCCTTGCAATTTCTTGGGTTTGGTTTGGTTTTGTTTTTTTTTTCCTTATGGTGTTTTTCTGCTGTGATAGCAAACTTTGCTTAACAAAATGTGAAGTGTTCTGTGTGGCAAGGTCTTTGTAAACATTCTAGCAGTTGAGTATTCAAAATGAAATATGCAAAACCAATTCTCCAGGTTGTATCTCGTATACAAATCCTGAGATCCAACCCTGGAGCTTAACGCCCGAGGAGAGGGAGTAACTGGCTGCCCTGTTTCCCTCCAGGAATCGACAAGGAGAACGTGGAACTGTCCCCCACCACTGGGCACTGTAATAGTGGACGGACTCGCCATGGATCCGCAAGCCAAGTGCAGAAGCAAAGGAGCGCTGGCAGTTTCAAACGTAATAGCATTAAGAAGATCGTGTGAAGCTTTCTTTCTTTCCTTTTTCAAGCAGACTTAACACGGGTTCTTCACTAGTGACCCCTTCTCCACCGTTCTATGATGCTGCACTTCATGGTTTATAAAGAGCCCATCCCGTCCGCCATGTTGCCAGATGATCAACTCTTGGAAGCATTGCCTAAATTTAATGCTGATTTTTCTTTAGCTTTTTTTTTTTTTTTTTCATTTTGGTGTGTCTGGTGTAAGCACGTGTTCAAAACAACTGTTAAAGGAAGTGGGAGGTCAGGACACTTGAACTGAGAACATCCCAGTTGTGAGAGAGGATGGATCCTTGAATACTGCTGCTACTGGCCAGCCATGAAAGCCATTTTGCACAGAGCTCTGCCTTCTGTTTCCCCTTCATCATACAAAGTAAAGTGTTACACACCTTCCAGGATAGAAACTTATGAGAGAAATAATATTATAACCCCAGTATATTTAATCTGACTTTTAGCTGTGGACTTTTTTTTACCTTTCAAAACTGAAGGAACCATTAGAGGTCAAACCTCAGTGACTTCACAGCATAAAGCCACAGGCCAGGTACTTTGGGCGGGTTGGGGGGGTGGAGGGATTTAGTATTTTGTAGTGGGTTCTGAAGAAATACTAACACTTGAGTATTAGCAATAATTACAGGAAAATAAGCATAACCACATATATCTTAACATTAATGAATTAAAGCGATGAGTTCTGAGGCCTTATCCAAACTCAGTCATCCAAACTATTTTTTTCTCTAGCTGATTATCTTTTAATCTTCAAATATGCTAAAAGTTGTTTTTTGGTTTTCTTTTGTTTTTGTAAGCCAAAACTATACTAAGTATAGTAGTTCCATATTTTCCCTCCTCTTCTTTCCTGTATCATTCTGAGCAGGGTAATCAGTGAACAAAGGGTTGACGTTGTTCCTAGAAGGCAACTTTCATAGACGTTTGCGTTAGCTCCATAGCAAAATGAAATGGTACGTGACTTTGAGTAGCTGATGCTTTTATTTTGTTTAATAATTTCCCCCCAGAAACAATGGAGTATGGTGTATATTAACAAAAATGTCTTCGATTAAATGTATTTTAAATGTCTTCTTATCTTCCCCCTCCACTCCAAAAAAAAATCAGCAACCTCTTTAGCGGAACATTTGGGTTGTATATGATAGAATTGCATTTAATCACTGTGAAAAAACTAGTCAGCCTGCATTAGTGTGACAATAGGGGACCGCCAGAGGTGCTGCTATACTGAAGGGTATGGATTACAGCGGTGTTGGGATTTCCGTAGTAACGCAGACCCAATGGCTTTGTGGTGCCTGCAGTGTGCACAATGATTCGACTTCAGAGCGCATACTCATACCTGGATGTTCCCATTTAGGACTAACCCGTATTTATTACAAAAAGATATTACCCCCCCCCCTCCTCCCGGGTTCCCTTTGTATGTTAAGATGTAATGGCTTTGGGAGGGGAAGAGAAACCTAGGGGAGCGGGGAGTGTCCTGTAGTGCTATCTCATAAGTGGATTTCAGTAAATTAAATTCCACAGCTAAATCAATACATAATGGTACATGTAAGTGTTCTGATTTTAATAATATAACGCATTTCACATTTATCCACACAGTAACAATGTAATATGTTAATGTAAATAAAATTGTTTTTGATATTCAGAAATAACAAGAATTTAATTTTTTTAATTTGTTTACAGTACTGGGAAAAGTAAGAACCATTTGCCAAAATAAAACGAAAAAACACCCACAAAAAACCTTAATATTCATAGGTATTTTGACATAGAATTGGACAATATTCAAGACAGGTGCAATTAATTACAATTTTGTTTTCAACTATTGTAGAGGCTGCATTAGAATAGAATGTTTATAGTAACAGAGCAACTAAGACTATAAAGAACTAAGGCTAGGACTGAGTTTAGAAACAGGTCATTACCAACCCAGAGCCAAGGATGCCAAGCTGCCCGTCAGGTCCTCACACAACCCAGTGCTTCTGGGATAGGATTCACAGCTTCTTGACTCCTGGAATGAAAAGGCATATGTGAGCCTTTAATTATTTTGGCTCCACATTTTCCCTCTTTGTTGATTGTTTGGTGCATGTGCTGGTGGGTGTTATGCCATTTTGCTTCTCCCATCAAAATAGACAAACTTCCAAAGGTTTACTGTTAAAACTATTGACCTTTTTCCATAAACAAGTTTTCCAAGGTATGATATTTCTGAAATTGATTCATTATTTCCCTCTAGTGTAATGAAAGGAATGAATTCACGTGAAGTACCTCATGAAATGATCAGCGTTGCACAAATCAAAATTTTGATCTGCAAAAATACTTTTAACCAGTCCATCCTGGGAATTTGAAAAGTTAACCAAGATTTAAAATTTCCCTTGTTTAAAGAATTTCCAACTTTTGAGGAAAACCTAGCTTTCCAAGTAACGAAAGTGAACATGAGTTAAGTCTCTCACCAAGATGTTTCCCCTGAAAAATGAAATACTTTTTTAGGCCTCATCCCTATAATCTGCCCAAGAAATTCTGAAGTTCAGAGCAAATTGCCCATTTTGTGTAATCTGATGTAAGTTCTATAAAGAACACTGTAAGTAATCTGCTTTGCTTTTTGTGGTTGTTTCTCCTGACTTTTTCAAGAGGAAAACATTAACTCATCCCGTTTTTTTGTGCAGAATTTAGCTGTTTTATCACTGCTCCAGTCCCCAGAGTGTGTCCCTTGTTGGCCAACAAGGGACACAGTTCACTAGCTTTGGGGGAAGTGGTGAGTGCTCTGTCCTTTGTCCCCTCAGGCCCCTGCTCACCCATGGATGCCGGTTCTGTGCAGGTCCTGAGCCAGGCGCCAAGGACCCCACAGTGAGTGGGCAGTTTCCGCCCCCATAGAATGATGTCCTAGGGAGCAACGGAATGGAAGCCAGCAGCCCTCCCTGCTTAGTGGGTTTTAGGGTTTTTCAGTTTTGTTTTGGCTTTTTGTTTGTTTTTTGGTTTTGTTTTTACATTCCCCCCTCATCACCACCCCCCGCCCCCAGCAAAATGAGGCATGTCTTATTCAATGTTATGCAATGAACTTATACAAAAATTCACTCTTAGTGTCAGCCACACAATTTTTTTTAAATGCAGTATATTCACCTGTAAATAGTTTGTGTAAAATTTGACAGAAAAGTATATTTACTACACTGTAAATACATGTGATGATATATTGTATTATTTTGCTTTTTTTGTAAAGCAGTTAGTTGCTGTACATGGATAACAAAAATTTGATTATTCTCATGTTAGTGTTGTTAACTTCTTCCTGCGACTACATTACATCATTTAAAGAAAGCGCTGTGTATTGTAAACTTACATTGTATATGATAACTTCCTCTCCTTTCCATCTGGACCTGAACTTTGGCAGTTCCCTTGCCTACAACCTTGTTAATATTGTAAGCCGCTGTGCGCCCGCAGGAGAAATACCGCCCAACAGACAACATCGATCATTGTAGGGAAAAATTGTAGAAATCTATTTCAGATCATTGTTCCTCACCCCATTTTCCTCCCTGTGTATGTACTCCCCCCCCCCTTTTTTTAAGTAAAATGTAAATTCAATCTGCTCTAAGATGTGGGGAGTTATTTAATTTCTTCACATGCATCAGCTCTGTTTTCTCACTTCCCCCCAGTCCTCACTGATCTTTTGAAACATTAAGGCCATTTCCTTTCTTTTAAGGACGTCTTGGGTTCTCCTCCACCCCACCCCGTGGGTTTCTATTTCTAGAACCTCGCCCCACTAATAGTAAAATAAGTAATTTTGGTGAGAAGCTAGCCTTTTAGGATTCCTGGCTGGGTCTGAAAATGAAACTGACAAAGACAGATTAACAGGAGCAAAGCACAAAAATTTACTGTATTTCCCCATGTATAAGACGCTCCCATGTATAAGACGCACCTTAATTTTGGGGCTCGAAATTTGAAAAAAAAGTGTATTACATAAAGTTATTGAACTCAAGTTTTATTCTCATCATAAAATTCATACAACTCCTCATCACTGTCAAAACTCCCAACCATTAGCTTGTCCTCATGTGTGTCTGATGACGAATCACTGTCTTCATATATTGCCTCGTCCTCACTCAGTTCCATCTATGGCATTTGAAATGCCACGCTTCTTAAATGATTGACAACAATCCACAACCACTGTATAAGACGCGCCCAGTTTTTAGACCCAAAATTTTTCGAAAAGGGGTGCTTCTTATTCTTGGGGAAATACGGTAATGCAAGTTTTATGTGACACGGGAGCCTTCATAAGGAAATGAAGACCCAAAGAAACAGTTAAACCTGAATATGTCTATGCTAGGTATAATGAAGAGTGAGCAGTTGTGTAGAAATATGACAGGTCAGAGCACGAGGTAAGTGTAGTAAAGCAGGTGGAGGGACTTAAGAAAGGCCATTTATTCCTTTGTCTTGTCTCTGGAGATAATGATGCTTCTGTCCTCTGGGCCCTATAACAGGAGGGTTATGTCCTGTTTCAGGGGAGAAGGGCAAGGTGACCTTCCTGTTTCTGCCATTTTCTCAGACTCCACCCATTTATAATATTTAATACACCAAGATGCTGTATTTTGGGGCTGTGTGGCCCAAACCCCATCAAATGCATTTTTAGGGCCTGCCAAGGCAAGGGGTGACTCTATGATAGGCTGATTTGACTTCTTTTAAAAATGAGCAGCCGGTCAGAAAGGCCAGGACATCCTGAGATCAAGCAGTCAGAGGGCATGTGTTAGGGCCCCACGAGTTTCTCCAGCTCTCCAGCTCTCCCCCTATAGAATCTTCTGTGACACTACTGGTGTAAACACTAAGAAAACGCTTTCCCTGGTGCAGCTATTGAGAGTTTTCTATCTTGTTTATCCCATTATGTGGGCTGCTCCCCCCAGATGGAGAGAGAACCAAGCCTAGATTCTGTGGGCAGGACAGAGATGACCCTTAGGAGGGTGACAGTGTCTGGCATTAAAGGGCTAAGAACACCATAAAACAGATATCTACAGGTGAGAGGCAGGTGCTGGCCTATTTATGGGAAGACTGAGAAAGCAGAGGTACATCACCTGGAGGGTGGGCTAGTATTCTGTTTGGGCCCATCCCACACCTCCGAGTCAAACTCACTAGGGATGAGGTCCTAGGGGAGAGAGAGAAAAAGAGAGAGAGAGAGAGAATTTAAAACTTCTCAGGTGATTTCCCTGGGGCCCAGGCTTAAAGATCTCTGGAGCAGAGAACTGAAAATCCAAGTACTGTAAATAGCTGTCTTCCCCTGTGGCCTAAAGTATCGTAGTCAAAACTAGGACTGCCTTTGGGGTGATGATCCCTAGACATTTAGCTCCTGAGGGCGTGGGCCACATTATTTATCTTTTATGGGGCCCCTGTGCCCATGTTTTGCCTGTACAGAGTTTTGCTTTCTGGGACACCCTCAGACTAACCTGGTGCTTTTGAACTGCCAGACCAGAAAAGTTCATTCCCACAGGAAATTGGGGAGGAGCAGGACGTGCTGGGAAAATAGTAAAAACCTATAACCAAGTGATAGTAGCATCGCAGAGTTCCCCTTTTTCTAGAAAGTAGCCCAGCACCCCCCACCCCCACCAAGACAAGCCCCTGATGGTGGCAGGCATCTTACAGCATTTACCCTCCCCACTAATTCTCCCTGCATCTCTCTCGGTAAACCATCATCTTAGCCCATTCACTGCAGGTCAGAACAGCCTCTGGCATGGCCGCCTCCAAGTTCTCAAGGGCAGTTAATCACCCCAAGTGATCTGCCAGGCGGCCTAGCTTCATTAGAAACTCAGTCTGAAGTCACTTCCACTTAAGCCTCTTAGCTGCCAATTTAAAAGACACCCCTTGGAATGCTGATTATGTTTCTATACCTATGAGGCCATGCTACAGCTGCATGGTCCCTGTTGGTTTGAATCGTTCCCATTGTATTCTTTTAAAAGTCCTGGCTAATCCTAAGTGGCAATGTCATAACATGAACGTGGAATTGTAATTTTAATCGATTTGCCTTCTTTTAACAAAAGTACCTTCTAAAAATCCATTTATGCTGTGGGTGTATACATTTATACGTACCTTACATACATGTATGTATGCATATTTCAAGTTCCCAAAGCAGCTTCATACATTTTACCTCAATTGGGCCCAAATTACCTTTATCCTTTTTGAATGACAGGCCTACCTCGTTTTATTGCACTTCACTTTATTGCTCTTCACAGGTGTTGCATTTTTTTTACAAACTGAAGGCAAGGCCCTCCACCAGCAAAAAGATTATGACTCATTTTATTGCAATACTTGCTTTGTGATGGTGACCTGGAACCAAACCCACAATATCTCCAAGGTATGCCTTTACCCCCAAAAGGTCATACTGCACATTTTTTTCTAGGTCCTTTACCATATGCTGAGAGTTAAGCTGGTTGTGATAAAGGAAAATTTAAGCCTGCGGGGTTACAGGGTTCAGAACTTCCCCCCCAGAGGATCCACTTCCTCAATATAACATAGGGGAGTCACACTGGAATCAATAGGGCCCTGTAGGGACCTGGGCCACAGGCAGTCAAGGTCTCCCAGCTCCATGGGAACGCTTCCTATCGGACACCCAGTTCTGAACGCTGGCCCGCAAAGGGAGCTGTGTGCGTGACAGCGGGCCTGCAGGGCCTGCCAGATGATTTCTCCCACAGAATGCCCTTTGTTTTGCTGTGTCTATATAACCTTGCTTCTTCTCCTGTGCGCAGATCACTAGTCCTCTGGCCTGCCACCACCGGAGACTCTTCCCCAGTCCGTAAGTCTCAATATACCTATGTCTCACACTCAGCCACCTGGTGTGTTCTTCGGGCTTGCAGTTTCTCAGGCACCAATCTTGGAATAACTCGGACTCGGTCCAAACAATTGGCGATCCTGCCAGGAGCCCAGAAACACCCTTGGCCGTGTGGACATGGGGAAAGAGAACGGGAGTGACATGGGGGAAATCACGGGATGGCCCAGAGCCTCTGTGTGGGGGGCTGTGGTATCCATAGTTGATGGGTGGGGGCCCCCATGGGAGTATAGAGATGCCCCAAAATTGCAGGCCAGGCTGGAGCAATTACTGAGCACCATAGCCAAGGACCTAGGCTTAGAGAAAAGGAAAGCCGACCACATGGTGGCGGCGGCAGTGGCGGTGTCATGGCCGCTGTTAACAGCAGTTAAATGGGCCACCAAAGCGGAGCTGCAGGCCAGAACACAGGTAGCTAAGCTGCGAGAGGAACTGCGTTTAGAAAGGGAGGCTTGGCTGAAGCAAGCCCATGCCAAGGAAGCTATGTCAGAAGCTTCCAAGGAAGATTGTGGGAGGTAGATCAACAGCTGGAAACTCTGGCCTGCCACTTCTCCCACACACAGGGTTGTAAATTACCCCGTGCCCGAGTCCACCAGGGGCTCACACACCCCGACTGGGATCCCAAGGCCTGGAATCCCTTAGCTACCTCTTCGGATGATGAAGAGGAAATATGGGAGGATGTAATAAAAAAGGGATGTACCAGACATGCAATGTGCATGCCCTGTGGTGCAAACTTGTCCAGTTCTGCAGCAGAAATGGAAAACAGATCAAAACCACCTACAGGGAGCTGACACTACGAATTTACTGGCACTCAAGAGGGAGGTATTTACCTCTATGAGGGAGTACACTGCTGCTGAATTGATCAAGCTGTGCAACTACTTCAGACAGAAAGCTAGAGAAAGTCTGCCGGAAGGGCTGCTCCAGTTACGGGATAACAGGGCAGAAGGAGTCATTCTGAATGGAAATGGGATGAGGAAGCTTGCATTGGTAACGAGCCAGCCCTCACTGAGGCAGTGGCTTTATGCAGCCACCAATGAGGAGGAGACAATGTCACTTCTCGCATAGTTAATCGTTGCCTGCAAGGCAGCCTGGCCCAATGAGGGGGATATGCCAGTGTAACCCACTAGGGGGCAGACTATGGAAGAATTGCAGGATGTTCTTCAGGGCCCGGGAATGAGATGTGCTATCTATTCTCAGAACTTTGTGGGTCCGGATCATGAAATGTTTACAGCAGCGATCAAGGATATCATTTTACTGTCGGCCCCTAACCAACAGTATGGGACCTTAGTTTCCACCTTGAGTCCCCTGGTGGGGCAAACAATTGTCTGTGCTGCACAAGCAGTGGCGGGTCTAGAGAAAACTGAAAAAAATCCTCCACCCGGGGGTCAAGAAGGGCGAACAGACAGGAAAAGGGAGGCTTATTCATGTCACCCGTAAACAGATATGGCATGACCTGCTCCAAGCAGGGACCACCCTGGAACAAACTGAAAGACAACCAAATGCGGTTTTGGTAAAATCGTGGCAGAAGCTACCTCAAGAAAATTCTGCAAATTGCCAACCAGAGATGGTCCCCTGCAAGGAAAGGAGGTGGGGGAGGAGGCAGAAGCCATAGCCTCTGCCATAGGATGGAGGCCAAAGCACCAGGCTCCAGGTCAGGGCGTCCACCAGGGACCAGAGGCCTCATGTAGGACAGACCATCCCCTGGTCTTCCATGAAGAAGCGGAAGGTCTTGGCGCTTGTTGATCCCGTAGATGAATGCGCATTGATATTTGGCAATCCCAACTGTTTCC